AGATAGATAGATAGATAGATAGATAGATAGATAGATAGATAGATAGATAGATAGATAGATAGATAGATAGATAGATAGATAGATAGATAGATGGAAAGATGTTCATGTCTTTTCACTAAGAAATGAAATCATGTCTAGAAACAAAAATAAACATTTGTCCCAATCATGACAGAGTAACGATTCAGCATGATAAACACTTTAAACTTTGACCAATGCAATGCAAACTTTACCAATTAGTTTTCTTTATTGTTCATAAAGGTGTTAATACAATCAGTATAAATCAGACAACTTTTATGATGGATTTCGGTAATGTGTTGTTCTTAAAGTCGGCCGCTGGCCAACACCAGTTGGCTCACGTCCCTGCATGATTTCTGCTGCCTGTCCCGACACAGTGAGGCTTCACCGCTCCTGCTGACGGGGCAGAAAAGGCTGAATGTAATTATGTGGCCACTGCATTGGAGGAATCCATCACCTGTGCAGCAGCAGGATACTGTCCCACTGACTAACTCATGGGATACACAGCCCCTCCTCTTTAATTCTTCTCTCTCTTCCTCCCCTTCTCTATCACTCATATTTCTTTTTCCACTGCTTAAATCAGCAGAGCCCGGCTGCCTCCGCTGACAGCCTGCTGCCCATCACTGTCCGAGCATACACGTAGACAAACACACTCATACAGGTGCAGGTTTACACATCTGGCAAAATATCTTCTTCTTCACACACACACACACACACACACACACACACACACACACACACACACACAAACAGTAAAACTGCAGATGAGACAAACTGAACCTCAAATAGAAATCAGACTCAGTGTCGATGTATCATCATCCTGCCATACCCAGTATAATGGCTTCCATAATTCAGATATATCGGGACTCATTGTTCATATTCTTGTTTCGATTTAGTGACAATATGGCTTAATAAGTAATGTCAGAGAGTTGAAGCAGGTTCTTCATTTGTTTTCTAATGAAATAAATGTCAAATTTATTTAGACCTGGAAACAAACCAAGTTCTCTTTCATTCAAAATGACCCCATCTGGCATCTTCTGGACAGAGGTAACACATGTTTACATTTATTTCTACGATATGCACTAAAACCATCTTTAACAACATACACCCAACAGAAGTTACAGAGTAGCTTCTGTGACAAAGCAGACTGTGGCCTCAGATGCCTTATTCTCTCAGCATGGGATAACAGGTGATACAGCTAAGGATGACAACAGATGGCAGTACTGGCACACATATCCCTTAATAAAACAAGGAATATCACTTCCCAGCATATAGAAAGGTTTTATTTGAAGCCTGGTCCATGAGTCAGCCTGGGATCATTTCAGTGAACTTGATAAATGGCTGCGAGATTCATTTCACTTCATAGCAATGTCATCAGTTTCTAGTCCATATAATATGTGTGGGTTTGAAATATTCGAGTCATGGAAACTCTGTCAAACCTCACAGCATGTAAGAGGGCTACGGTGACCCTCCATCAGCCATCGTCCTGAAGAGCAAGATGACGAAGCATCTGAGGAGACAGTCAGGGAGGGCGTGGGGAGATCTCAGACATGAGGGGGGGGCGGGTTGGGGTCGGAGTTGGGTAAAGAGAGGGAGAGAGTGTGGCTCCCCCACCCCACCTCTGAGGAGTTCTGGGAAGCTTCATGATTGACTGGAGAGTCGTGGATCCGGAGTGAGGTGGCGGAGAGTGTGTAACAGCAGCTGTTGTCCAGTGTTGCGAGAACCCAGTTCTCCTGTTGCTGTCATGGGCTTCACGGCGGTGCTGCTGTCCCTCCTCCTGGTGTCTCTGAGCTGGTCCAGAGGAGCCATCATCACAGGGGTGAGTGAGGGGTTTCAGACTATGCTGCACAGTCCTGATGTTATTTATTTGATCATATATTATTGTGTAACCACTTTTAAATGAGTGACTAATTACTCTGATGATTAATCTAATTAGATTTTACATTGTTATTGTCATCCCTTTCTATGATTGTTTTCTGTCTTTTCTGTAAAGTTGAATATACTGTGTGTTTTTGCACTGAAATTAAAATGATTTACTTTTGTAATAATGACTTTAACTAACAATTATCTGCATTATTGGATAGCCTGATTGTTATTTGTATAATTAATCAAATAATGAAGTAACATGTAAATAGTCAGAAATTATTGTTTCATGACATGACAAGTTTCCTGCCCCTCAGATGATGCCTTCACATTACTTGTTTTGTCTGACTAACAGTTTAAAACCCACAGATATTACATTTTTGACAATATAAACCAGAGAAAACAGCAGATCTTTACATTTGTGAAGCAGGTGCTGAAAAATGCATTGGGCTTGTGTTCAATCAATGATTGTGTTGACCGATTGATTAACTGACTAATTGTTTCAGTCTATAAAATCGGAAGTGATGTATCCGCACTTAAAGAATCCATAATGAATTTAGATTAAACATTTTTGATTCAAACTTCAAATGTGCATAAACCTTATCGTAATGCAAACAGAACAGCTCACTTTGGTGAATGATTTTGTAAAATCTTGTTACACATGACTGATGAGAAACCACATCCTCCTCCACTTGAAGTCCACTGGACAAACGAGGGGAAATTATCTCAGTCCTCTGATTGATATTCATATGTAAACGGATTATGGAGATGACAGGCAATACATAAAATGACTTTCACTGTACTAACATGAAAGGCCATCTCTATTAGCATAAACAAATTAAATCTTGGCTCCCTGGCATTAAAAAGAACACCCCCTCCTCTCTGTCCCTCTGCCTCTCTTCTTCTTCTCTGTCTACCTGCGCAACATTGTCTGTGTCCGTCTGTGCTGCAGGCCTGTGAGAGAGATGTGCAGTGTGGGTTCGGTCTGTGCTGTGCTGTCAGTCTGTGGCTGAGAGGTCTGAGGATGTGTGCCCCGAGAGGTTTGGAGGGGGAAGAGTGTCATCCCTTCAGCCACAAGGTGGGCAAGAAATGTTGTGTTACTAATCTGCACATATACACGTTTACACACACACGCACACGCACACACACACACACACAC